CCGAGAAACGGCCCCCCGGGGGGGTCCCTGCCGCAGGAAGGGCCCTGCCCCGCGGCTGAGCCGGGATCTGCGCCGCTGCCGGATCCGGCACGGCCTCCCTGGGCAGGGGGATGGGACCCCCACAGAGGGGGGTCCTGTGGGAGCGGCCCTGGCTTTTGCCCCCTCCCTCCAGGGAGTCCCACTGGGGTCCCCGTGCTGGTGGGTGCACCCCAAACCCACCCGGCATCAGGAGGGGGGTGGCGGGGAAAAGAACAACTGGAGATGCCGACAGCGGTGGGGAGCAGACGGGAAGGAAAATGGGGCAGGGAAAATGGGGCAGGGTCCCCCAGTCACCCCACAAAGCCCGGGAGGATGGAGGACGGGCAGCATCCCCGTCCCAAACCCTCCTCCCATGGAGATGCAGCATCAGGTTGGACGTGGGATTCGGCGCCCGCTGCGGAGAAGCAAACCCAGAAGACATCTTCACTCGTCGTTAAATAAACTTTAATTATTTTTGCATGGGGAGGGATGAAAGGAAAATAAAATTTCTTCCGAGGATTAAAAGCAGCAGGCGGGGAGGAGCAGCCCGGCTCTTCTCTCCCCTCTCTTCCTGGAGGCCACGGTGATGGGTGGGCCCTCTCCGAGCAGGAGATGCTTGGGGGGCCCCAGCGCCCGCAGTCCCCCCGGGGCACGCAAGGTCCCTAAAGGCACAAGCGTCACTTTGCCCCCTCCCCGCGGGGCTGCCGCCACCTCCCCGGAGCAGGCCAGCTTGTGCAAAACCCCCACGTAAAAAAATACTGTTTTTTTCAGTATCGAACATCCTAAAAAACTAGAGCTTTAATCAATGTCAGTTATCCACACCCTTGATTGGAAATCCCGATTTACGCCGCTGGGTTTCCACCGGGAGGGGATGTACCAGGTTGGCACCAGGAGCGTGACTGGGAGCATCCCCCAGCAGCACCGGGTTAGTGAGTGGGGGGACGCACCTCTCCAGTCCCCCCTCGCTCAGCCCTGGGTGGGCAGAGGGTCCCTCCGTGGGGCAGGAGCACCCACACCGCGTCGCCCAGCACCGCTGTCCCCGGGGAAGGGCCGGGCGCAGGATCAGCTCCCGGGCAGGGGGTCTCTTCTCTGCACCTCCCACCGGCTCCTTCCCCCCGGCGCTAGTCCGGCTGGATGAGAAGCCGAGGGCAGGGTCGAGGTCGGTCCCCGGATGCTAAAGGCTTGGCTCCACGCTGGCCTCCGCCTCCAGCTTTCGCTGGTACCTCTGCCGGCGCTCGCAGCGGGGACACGACTTGGCATGGGCTTGGCAGTCCCGGTGGAAGACGGTTTTGCATTCGCTGCACCTAGGAGAAACCAAGGGGAAAAAAAAAACCCCAAATAACCCCCTGTGTTGGTAACATCAGAGCAAAGACCGAACTTCTTCCCTCCAAACCAGACCTGGGGACACTTCCTCGTCCCCGTTTCCTCCAAGCACTTGCTGAGCAAAGAGCCCTGGCCCCAGCGAGAGCCAGCTCTAGCTCAAGACGAACCTTGCTAGCAGGAGCAGTAACGACTCAAGCTAAAGATCCACCTCCAGCAAGCTCAGAGCAAAAGCAGCA